CCGTACTCTCCTGCGACAACTTAACTTCCCTAGCACAACATCCAGCGATTAATGCCTTCTTAAAAGGGGCGTCTAACACAAAGCCCCCAGTCATACACAGGTACCCGTCCTGGAACCTGCCTAGGGTCCTTCTAGCCTTGACATCTGCACCCTTCGAACCTCTTGAAACATGCTCACTCCATCACCTATCACTGAAGGTAGCTTTCCTTGTGGCAATTACTTCGGCAAGGAGAATTTCAGAACTAGCAGCTCTGTCAGTAAGGAAGGATCTGTGTACCTTTTTCAAAGACAGGGTCGTTCTTAGACCAGACCCGACCTTCATCCCGAAGGTAAATAGCACCTTTCACAGATCTCAGGAACTTACGCTTCCTGATTTCTGTCCAAGACCCAAACATAAGCTAGAACACAGATGGCACAAGCTAGACGTACGGAGAGCACTGTGTTTCTACGTGAAACGCACCTCGGCTTTCCGAAAGACTGAAGCATTATTTGTGTCCTTTCAACCATCAACTATGGGAAAGAAGGTATCTTCTTCCACCATAGGCAGGTGGATCAGAGCCTGCATAGCGCAGGCCTACGTCTCACAGGATTTGCCAGCACCCACTCAGGTGACTGCCCACTCAACTCGGAGCGCAGCCACATCTGCGGCGTGGCTAACGCAAGCTCCGGTGGAAGAGATTTGCAGGGCCGCAACCTGGTCCTCACCTTCGGTTTTCATTCGACACTACCGTTTAGACTCCCTAGCAGCAGCAGACGCGGCTTTTGGCAGAAGAGTTCTTCAACAGGTCGTATCTGCTCAGAGTTCGGTAGCCTAGACATTCCCTCCCAGGGGGACATGAGGGCTTTGGTATGTCCCATCCATTTGGACTCTACAGTCATCCTGCTGGAGAAGGGGCGTTGTCTTACCTGAACGCCTTTTCTCAGCAGGATGATGTAGAGTCCAAGCCCACCCAGAGGATAGGTCTAGGCAGGGATATAATAAAGATATAATAAAGAGCTGCAAGGTTAATTCCAACAAAGTTTCTCGCCTAAGTCAAAACTGGGGTCACGCCCAAAGGAAGGGGTGTGGCCGAAGTTTTTACCCAGTCTGCCAGGCAGGAAGGCCGTCATAGAACCCATCCATTTGGACTCTACATCATCCTGCTGAGAAAAGGCGTTCAGGTAAGACAACGCCCCTTTTCTCCACCTCTGCTATCCAAGAACCTCTTAACGGCAGATGTCCGGAGTCAAATCTCAACCTTCTGCATGCAGAGCAGAGGATGGACCTTCTCCAAATCTGAAAAATGCAGCCATGTCCTTCTAAGTCCATGTTTCCCAACCGTGGCAACTTTGTGTGGACTTCAACTCCCAGAATTCCCCAGTCAGCAGAATTCTGGGAGTTAAAGTCCACATCTCTGAAAGATGCCAAAGTTGAGAAACATCATTCTAAGCCAGGGGTCTTCAAACTTGGCCCTTTTATGACTTGTGGACTTCAACTCCCACAATTCCTCAGCCAGGCATTATATATATGATATATATCAGTGATGGCGAACCTTTTAGAAACTGAGTGTCCAAACTGCAACCCAAAACCCACTTATGCATCGTTGAGTGCTGGGTGGGTGTGGCCCATTGGCTGGGTGTGGCCCATTGGGTGGGCGTGGCTGCAGTGGTAACGGCAGACTGGGTGGGACTAAAAAGTTCAATCAATCAATTCCAACTTTGCAAGATCTTTTTTTTTCCTGTGAGAAGTTGAAATTGACTGATTGAACCTTTTTTTTTTTTTTTTTGCACACAGCGGCGAGGCCTAAAGCAAACAGGTTTTATAAAACCCAGCTGAAGGCCTAGGACTGGGGCGACGGCACAAGTGCCCACAGAGAGAGCTCTGAGTGCCGCCTCTGGCACCCGTGCCATAGGTTCGCCACCACTGTTAAATATATATATAATCTAGTCCTATCCTTTTTGGTTTTGCCTTGCTGGTCCTAAAGCAAGGATGGCTGTGCAGTGGGGCTAATTTCACACAACCCTCTGCAAACGATGCCAATCTTCTGGAACAGTTCCAGAAACCATGTGTCTGACTAGTTGAAAGGGTGATATAAGCCGTGGCCTACCCATTATTGAGATGGAAGTTGCTGGAAGTTTTGTCCTGGTCACATTTGGGCAGTAACTGACTGGCCCTTGACTTGGAAGAAGGCGAGTTGATTTGTTACCTTACTGTGAGAATACCGCTGAGGTATTGAAAGGCTGCTTAATATGAGTCTTGCTCACCGCTTTTGAGCGAAGGCAGGACAGTGGCCAGCATGATTTGAGACTGTTTATCTCAGTCCTATCTTTGAAATACAGGTACATCATACATGAACTTGCAACTGTAATGGAGTCTTCCCATTACAGTCATATTTGTGACGGTTGTAAAATCAGGTCAGGACCGACTTGATTTTATGTCCTTTTTCTTGCAGCAGTAGTAAAGCAGACGCCACAGTTACAAAAAGAACGGCGTCATTATATGAAATTCATGGTCATTAAGCAAACTCACTGTTTGCTATGGCGCAGTTTTGCTGAAAACTGGAATTACCTTCTGCTTTTCTTTTAAAAAAGAAACTACAGTAAATGCGGTCACATGACCGCAGAATGCTGCAAGCAGCTGTAAATGTAGAGAGCGTCCAATGTGTAGTCATGTGATCACAGTTTCCACCCCACCCCACGTTGGAATTCAGAATTAGGACATAACTCCCTTTTTTCAGGTAAGTCATAACTTGGAACAGTGGCTACCTTCAAATGGTTGTAAATTGAGGACTAAAATGTCCTACTAGGTCAGGGGGTCTTCAATCTTGGCCACTTTAAGACTTGTGGACTTCAACTCCCAGAATTCCTCAGCCAGCCCTGGCTGGCTGAGGAATTCTGGGAGTTGAAGTCCACAAGTCTTAAAGTGGCCAAGTTTGAAGACCCCTGTACTAGATGCTTTGCTAGCGGCTCTGTAAATCCCTCCAAGGAAAACAGTTAACAATCAGTAGTTATTGAAATGGCATCTTTTATTGGATCAGGCAAATTGACCGAGGCATTAGAATTCATCTCTGCCTAACTTCCTAATGCAGTTCTTCCTAATATATTCCATTCTACCATTTGAAAACAGGACGGGAATAAATTGTAATTAAAAATTTACTTTCTGACCAGTACTCACATTAAACAGTCAAATTTCATGTGCCCGACAACAAAAACCTTCAATGTGAAACAGATTGAAGTCTAGTCAATCTAGGCCAGTGGTTCTCAACCTGTGGGTCGGGACCCCATTTGGGGTCGAACGACCATTTCACGGGGGTCGCCAAACAACGCAGTCCGCCATTTTTTTCCCCCTTTTCCTTAGCTGTGCTACTCCCTTTTATTCTATTGGTTTTTGAAAGCCAATAGAATAAACTCTCTTGAATAGAGTCTAATTCTATTGGCTTTCAAAAACCAATAGGAATTGTCCAGGCTGTCTCTGCCCTGCTGAACCCGCCAAAAGTCCCATTCTGCAAACGGTGCTGCACCAGTTGAGTAGTCCTTGACTTATGACCGGTTGAGTAGTCCTCGGCTTATGACCAGTTGGGGGTCGCGGCATTAAAAAGGTTGAGAACCACTGGTCTAGGAAGGTTCTAATCAACTAATTAAAGCAGGGGTCTTCAAACTTGGCCCTTTTATGACTTGTGGACTTCACCTCCTAGAATTCCTCAGCCAGACACGCTGAGGGGAAAGTGAGAGGTTTCCAAGCTAAGCCATGCTGGCTGAGGAATTCTGGGAGTTGAAGTCCACAAGTCATAAAAGGGCCAAGTTTGAAGACTTCTGAATTAAAGTAATGGAGCTGAGCTTCTCAACTTCTGGTTAGCCCGTTTTAGGGAAGCCCTGTGCTGTGGAGAAAAGCAGCTCAGGAAAAGATAGCTTGTTTAAGCAATCTTTCTGCACTGTGAGGGGTCAAATAAAGGGAAAACAATGGGTCAGGCACAGGGCATTGTATGAAAGAAGAGATAGTAGCAAGCAATGATCTTCGCAACATTTCTATTATGTGTTCACTTAGCAACCATTTCACTTAATGACCAAATTGTTGGGATGGAACATATTCGCTATCTGAGGAGAGGGTACTATAACCTCTAATTTGCTGATAGCATGGCTTCTTCCTGCCAACAGATTCCTTAAAATGCTTTGCCTCTGATGGATAAAGAAACAAGAATTCTATTCCTTTACCACCTCTCAAAGCCAAGAGCAAATTATAAAGTAGTCCTCAATTTATGGCTACAATTAAGCTCAAAATTTTCTGTTGCTAAACGAGACAGCTGTTAAGTGAGTATTTACCCCATTTTACCACCTTTCTTGCCATAGTTAAGTGAATCACTGCAGTTGTTAAGTTAGTAATACGGCTATTGAGTCTGGCTTCCTCCATTGACTTTGCCTGTGAGGAGATCCCAAAAGGGGATCACGTGACCTCGGGACACTGACCCTCATACATATGAGTCCGTTGCCAAGCGCGTAAATTTTGATCACGTGACCGTGGAGGATGCTGCAACAGCCATAAGTGCAAAACGACGGCCATAAGTCACTTTTTTTCAGTGCCGTTGTAACTTTGAACGGTCACTGAAAGATTGCAATTCAAGGACTTCTTGCATAACGTTAAGTCTTTAGCCTATTTAGCTTGGCTTTCTCTAACCTGCCAACTTCAATATGTTAGGATTATAACTTCCTCCTTTGACAAGTTTTTTTTTTTCTTGGCAGTCTTTACATATTTTCAAGATTAGTTTCCTTCCTTTGGCCTGGACTATTTGGAGAGCATCCATAATTGATTTACAAAGTTCAGTACTTCCTTTGCATTCAGAAAGTGTCTTGAGTCAATCACCACAACTTCAGTTACAAATGGATCCGCAGAGAGGTGTTGGCACAAGAGCTGAGACCGGTTAGTGCAGACTTGAGTGGAGTTAGATGTTGAAACACTGTCAACTGGTGGAGGGCAAGTTTCTCTATTAAGTCTCATCCCAGGAATTTCCTTAACTGCTTCTCACGTATATGGTGATGGAGTATTGTGTCTGTGGCATGCAAGAGATGTTGGACAGCGTTCCTGACAAAAAGTTTCCAGTCTTTCAAGCGCACGGGTAAGTAGCATGCAGGCTTTCCAGTTCCCATCTCTCAGAAGCCCCATTCGCTGTGAGAAATAGGGAAACTGGACTGGTGGTTCATACTCATCCGTGTCCATCAGTTTGCAAAGGAAAAATCTTGCTGTTTGTGAAGGAAAAATCCACACACTTCTCACACAGCCTCGGGTTCAAGCATTGGCTGGATCTAAGCCAGTTTCGTTTCCAGGCCATCTTGGTTTCGGTGAAGTGCTTGCATCAGATGCTTTGAGATTATTTTATTTATTTGTACCCTGCTGTTATTTTGTTATATAACTCAAGATGGTGTACGTATCGGACATACCCTCCTTGTCCTATTTACCCCACAACAACAACCCTGTGAGGTAGGTTGGGTAGAGAGAGGGGGGGACTGGCCCGAAGTCACCTAGCCGGCTTGCTGTCATGCCTAAGGCAGAACTAGAACTCACAGCCTCCTGGTGATTAGCCTAAAGTCACCCAGTTGGCTTTCATGTCTAAGGTGGGACTAGAACTCACCATCTCCTAGTGATTAGCCCAAAGTCACCCAGTTGGCTTTCATGCCTAAGGCGGGACTAGAACTCACCATCTCCTGGTGATTGGCCTAAAGTCACGCAGTTGGCTTTCATGCCTAAGGCGGGACCAGAACTCACCATCTCCTGGTGATTGGCCCAAAGTCACCCAGTTGGCTTTCATGCCTAAGGCGGGACCAGAACTCACCATCTCCTGGTGATTGGCCCAAAGTCACCCAGTTGGCTTTCCTGCCTAAGGCGGGACCAGAACTCACCATCTCCTGGTGATTGGCCCAAAGTCACCCAGTTGGCTTTCCTGCCTAAGGCGGGACCAGAACTCACCATCTCCTGGTGATTGGCCCAAAGTCACCCAGTTGGCTTTCATGCCAAAGGCGGGACCAGAACTCATTGTCTCCCGGTGATTGTCCCAAAGTCACCCAGCTCGCTACTAAGGCAGGATTGAACTCATGGTCTCCCACTTTTTAGCCTGATGCCTTAACCACTATACCAAACTGACAGCTCATGACATAATGCAAACATCATTCTATAAATTCTTAGTAACTGTTCTGTTTCAGAATTCCTGATAATGCACAAACATTGTAAGATTCCTGGTCAGAATCAGACTCTGAGTCGCAGCTGATAACCCTAACCACTTAGTAATGTAGATATTGCACTGTGCTTGCTCTCCAGAAACTCAATTTTTTCCACCTCATTTTCCCTTTGCCTCCCTCTCGTCCCTTACGCAGGTACTTTTGCCAACTTATAGATGGCTTGGAATATTTGCACAGCCAGGGCATCGTACACAAAGATATCAAACCGGGGAATCTCCTGCTAACAACCAATGGGACTCTAAAGATATCAGATCTAGGTGTGGCAGAGGTATGTTTTTGAACGTCCGTGTCGTTATGTGAATTGCTATAGCTATCGAGTTGGATGGCTTCAAGATGGGATTGGGTAAATTTATGGTGGAGAAAACTATTTTGGCTACTTACTGGTCATACAAATTAAAAATACTTCCTCTAGGACAGGGGTCTTCCAACTTGGCCCTTTTATGACTTGTGGACTTCAATTCCCAAAATTCCTCAGCCAGCATGCCTGGCTGAGGAATTCTGGGAGTTGAAGTCCACCAGTCATAAAAGAACCAAGTTTGAAAACCCCTGGGCTAGAAAGTCTAGGACGGGTCTCCAACCTTGGCAACTTTAAAACTTGTAGACTTCAACTCCCAGAATTCCTCAGCCAGGCATGCTGGCTGAGGAATTCTGGGAGTTGAAGTCCGCAAGTCATAAAAGGGCCAAGTTAAGACCCCTGGCCTAGAATAATTGCTTTGGAACTCTAAGATAAGCCACAGCTGAGGGCCTTTGTCAGGCTGTTGGCTGGATCAGATTACTTGGCCCTTGGTTGGGTCTTGGATTAGTCATTTTTTATACCGTACGTTTATTTCTCTGAATGTTTACAGCAGAGTTTCTCAACCTTGGCAACTTTAACATGAGTGGATTTCAACTCCCAGAATTCCCCAGCCAGCTAGATAGGTGCAAGCTGGGGAAATGCCCCAGTATATCTGAAAACTAAAAATTACAGAACAAAGTTGACAACGTATGATATATATCAGGGGTGTCAAACTCACAACGTCACGTGACGTGTCACGACATATCGTGACGTATTGTGACTTTTTTTGCCATTGCCGACAATGGGGTGAGCATGGTTTTGCCATGATGCATTGCCCCATGGGCCGGCAGTTTGACACTCCCTGACATATATGGTCTTAAACTTCTGAAGCTTTTCAATTGACAGCTGTCTTCAGTCATCAAGCAGTTTGTTTTGAAAGCCAGAACCCAAGAAATTTGGCTAAAGGGAGGCAAATTGCTTTCCTAAGATCATTTTGATGTTGGGTGGCGATTGCTTTCAAGTATGTACAACTTAATTCTTTTCTCTGAAGCATTTTTTAATGAATAAGGCAGAAACTCAGGTTCACTCCCAGTCTACACTGCATAAATTGGGGTAGTTAGTGGGGCTGCATGGGGCACTCAGAACTCCCTAGATCAGGGTGTCCAACCTTCGCAACTTTAAGACCTGTGGATTGGTCTTAATGGCTGGCTGAGGAATTCTGGGAGTTGAAGTCCACAGGCCTTAAATTTGCCAATGTCAGACACCCCTCCCCTGGACTGAACAATTGAAGCACAGTAGCCAATTGCAGAATATTAGCAGTTGCAATTTCCCACTGATTCCCAGCAATAAGAGTCGAGGTGGCGCAGCAGTTAGAGTGCAGTACTGCAGGCCACTTTAGCTGACTGTGTTCTGCAGGTCAGCGGTTCAAATCTCACCGGCTCAAGGTTGACTCAGCCTTCCATCCTTCCGAGGTAGGTAAAATGAGGTCCCAGATTGTTGGGGGCAATGTAAATATATATATACATTGCTTACTGGTGTACACCGCTTAAAGAGTGCCTGCACTTAAAGCGGTATATAAGTCTCATAAAATAAAATAAATAAATAAAAATAAATAAAATGTGTTTATTCTTTGGGTAGGCTTACTTCCCTTAAAATGCTAATCTCCCCTTTAATTTTTGTTTTTAAATGAAACAGTTTGATATTGCACAGTTGAGCAACGTCATGGCTTCTGCTGAAATAATCATTAAAAAAAAAAAAAAAACTCCACAGCTGTTCCAAAATTTCCAGTTGCTGCTGAAGACATATGCCTTCAACCTCAAAGCAATGCCTCTTTGTTATCTGCTTGCAACAGGCCTTGCATCCATTTGCCGAGGACGACATGTGCCGAACCAGCCAGGGGTCACCAGCTTTTCAGCCTCCAGAAATTGCCAACGGCCTGGATACCTTTTCTGGCTTCAAAGTAGATATTTGGTCAGCAGGTGTCACACTGTAAGTAAATCGGAATACAAAGCAGGACCCAAGCCCTTAATGTCGGCAGCAGAGTGATCGTGACAGTTGTGAAGATGTCAGCCATGGGACTCCTTGAGCTGCTACCCAGGGGTAATAATTTAAAAAGGGCAGTCCCTTGGTAAATATCCCCTACGTTCTAGAACAGAGGCCCCCCAACTTTTTGGCACCAGGGACCAGTTCTGTGGAGAAAGGTTTTTCCACGGACTGGAGAGTGCGTGGTTTTGTGTGCTGCCTGCATCCCACAGATGGGGCTTTGCTTGTTTGTGCGGACCGGTTACTGGCATGCCACGGCCCGGTACTGGTCCACGGATCGGGGGTTGGGGGCCCCTGTTCTAGAACGATACTCTGTTTATCTTTACCCTGAAGAGATTCCTAGATTAATTTTGGATTTGTATGAAATTTTCTTCTCCCTTCTAATACTTATCCATATGCTAAGGGCATGACTCTGTTCGGCCTGCCTCCCACTCATCTTTTGCCATACAGAAATAAATCCAGAAGAGTCATTCAGCTAGATAAGATAAGATAACCTTTATTGTCATTTTTTACTGTGGGCATAACGGCACACATCAAAAATGAAATTTAGTTACCTGCTCTCAGAGTGAAACACATACATGACACACATCTAAACATACTATGTACAACATATGTTGTACATCCCAGATATACGTATGTTGTACACCCCTACATATACATAGCAAATAAATATTAAATACTCTCCATCTTGAATATAACGGAAGGAGGAAGCTTGAGAGTTCACAAGGTTAATGCTGTATGGAATGAAACTATGGCTGAATCTGGATGTTCTGCTACGGATACTACGGAGCCCCCTCCTCCCAAAAGGTAACAAGGAAAACAGGTCGTGGAGAGGATGTGTAGTGTCCCAGATAATCTTACAGACCCTGCTCAAGCAGCACTTCTGTGCTGTGTCCTGGATGGGAGGGAGGAAACTGTCAATGATCTTTTCGGCAGTCCTCACCACTCTCTGCACTGCCTTCCTGTCTGAAGCAGTGATGCTTCCAAACCAGACTGTGATGCTGTATGACAGGATGCTCTCGATCGTCTCCCTGTAGAAAGTGATCAGGACTAATAAATATTTGAGGACAGCTATCAAACTCTCCCTTCTCTGCTCGGTGAAACAGATTCCCTCCCCCTTTTTTGTTCCATGTAGAGAGAAGACACTTTCCAGATGCCCCTGCAATCTCTCTGACTTTTTTTTTTTTTTTGAGGGATTGTCCCATTCTTTTCGGGAAATCTGATATCCCTAATTAAGTCCAGGAATCCAACTCCAGCTTAGTCAACCCCAAATGGAGTAGAATTAGCCCGTGATGTCTACCTCACGGTCATTTAGTCCAGTAGTTCTTAACCTTTTTGAACAAATCGCCCCCTTGAGCCAATGAGGAAGTTGTCATCACCCCCCTCCCTCAACATAACCTCTCAATCACAACATGGGAAATAATTCTTCAATTTATGCAAACACTTTTTTTTGTTTTCTTTAAAATTGTTCATCAGGGCATATCGATGCAAATAATTTATTTCCAGTCTCCCATATTCTGGCTAATGGCGTGCCACTGTACGGGTAGAGGCTGCTGCACAACACGCATGAAGATAAGCAATGCGTATTTACATATGTACGGCGTTCTGTACTGAAGCTAGCTGGAGGAATATTTGAAAACACAATTCAATCCACTAATAGCGAGCGATCTGATGTTTTTGTACGACAGATATACAGCCATTCACTGTATGAAGAAGCCTCAAAAGTATCCCCAAAACTTCTCGCTCAATCCCCCCCATATCTCCCCCTTTTTGTTTCTTTGCCCCCACGTCGCCCTTTTCGTTCCATCGCCCCCCTGAAAAATGAAATCGCCCCCTGGGGGGCAATATCGCCCAGGTTAAGAACCACTGATCTAGTCAGCCACACTCACTAGCAGTCGGGTCATGAAATGTCCACAAGTAAACAAGCTCAGAGAGCACCAAGGACCCCATAGTTCAACCCTGAGGTATAAACATTCTCTTCTATTGATATCTGGAGTGTCAAGAGTGAAAACTATCCAATCACCTCCTTCTGTTCCACCTAAGGCAGGGGTCTTCATGCCTGGCTGAGGAATTATAGGAGTTCAAGTCCACAAGTCATAAAAGGGCCAAGTTTGAAGACCCCTGACCTAAGGCAATCAGTTGAGGGCAAGAGGACCCTTGGCTCCTGCAGATGTGAACTTGGTCGTCAAAGAGGGCTGCCTGCCAGAGTAGATGGTGGCAGACTCCTGCTTCGGGGGGTGGGGGGCTGGCGCAAGAGACAAAACATGCATTGTGATGCAATCTCACCCCTTGGATAAGTTGCCTGCGAGACCATGGTGCAAGTACAGGATAATGGAACTTCGTTGTGGTATCAACATCTACATTTCTTCCGTTTGGTGTCAGGAGCAGGCTGTGTGCTTTTTATAGCAAGGGGTGCAGTTTCACCTTCTCCTAGGCCTGCGTTCTCTGCATATCCAGGAGGATTTGCAGTCTTCCAACAAGAGTAGGATAGCCACTTGTAGGCGTGAACAACTAGACCCACACGTCTTCAAACTAGCTTTGTGGTTCTCTGCCTGTAGTACAGGAATCTCTCCAGACTGGCAGCTTTTGCCTGAGAAAGACTAGATAGGGCGCAAAGGCACCCAGGGATTGGTCAGACTTTCGCCGCTTATATTTATGTAAGGCAGTAGTGGTGAACCTATGGCACGGGTGCCAGAGGTGGCACTCAGAGCTGTCTCTGTGGGCACGCACACCGTCGCCCCAGTCCTAGGCCTTCAGCTGGGTTTTATAAACCCTTTTCGCTTTAGGCCTCCGCCGCCGTGTGCAAAAAAAAAAAGGTTCAATCAATCAGTCAATTTCAACTTCTTGCAGGAAAAAAAAAGATCTTGCAAAGTTGGAATTGATTGATTGAACTTTTTAGTCCCACCCAGTCTGTTGTTACCACCGCAGCCATGCCCACCCAATGGGCCACACCCACCCAATAGGCCACACCCACCCAGCACCCGACGATGCATAAGTGGGTTTTGGGTTGCAGTTTGGGCACTCTGTCTCTTAAAGGTTCTCCATCACTGATGTAGGGAGTCCAGGCTAATTCCCTGCTTGAGCCCTCTTCTGGACTGGGATGGTTGCTCTCCAGCTCCCTCCCTCCCTCCCTCTCTCTCTCCCTCCCTCCCTCCCTCCCTCCCTTTCTTTCTTTCTTTCTTTCTTTCTTTCTTTCTTTCTGTCTGTCTGTCTGTCTGTCTGTCTGTCTGCCTGCCTAATTAAAAACTTTACAGGTCCTGTATACTATACAGGTAGTCCTCAATTTAGGACCAGTCACTATCTACCTATCTACCTACATCTCTCTCTCTCTCTCTCTCTCCCGCATATCTATTGATCTATCGATCTAATCTATCTACCTATGTATATCATCTATCGATCATCTATCTATATCTATCTATCATCTCTACCTATCTTTATCATCTCTACCTACCTTTCATTCATCTATCTATCTATCTATCTATCTATCTATCTATCTATCTATCTATCTATCTATCTATCTCTATCATCTATTGCGTCCACATCTCTGTCTGTCTGTCTACCTACCTACCTACCTACCTACTTACCTATCTATCATATTTCTTAACCGCGCATCTCCCTCAGAGAGGGGTTGCCTATGGAGATTCTCAGTCCTCCAGGTCGTGGTTCTTCCAAAGGTGCTTTTTCAAAAGGCAATGGGGCTTGACGACGTTTCACTTCTCATCCAAGAAGCTTCTTCAGTTCTGCCTTCAGTCTTTCAGAACTGAAGAAGCTTCTTGGATGAGAAGTGAAACGTCTTCAAGGAAAAAAAACAAAGTCCATTTGCCTTTTGAAAAAGCACCTTTGGGACAACCATGATCTGGATGACTGAGAATCTCTATAGACATTTAGCTATGCACTTTGGGATGAACACCCTTCGGATGGTGTGGGAGTCTGAATGGATTTCCAGAAAAAAATTGCAGACTACAGGAATTTGAGATGCAGACAACACACCAAAAAAACCCCCCAAAATAAGTCCAGTTACCTTTTGAAAAAGCATATTTGGGTCAGAGAAGGGTTCTTAAATGCTTATAATCATTTCTTCTTTCCTCTCTCTCTGCTCTCCCTACCCCCCACCCCCACCCCCCCAGGTACAATATTACAACAGGCCTTTATCCCTTTGAAGGGGATAATATTTATAAATTATTTGAAAACATTGGAAAAGGAGATTATGTAATCCCTGAGGATTGTGGCCCTCCGCTTTCGGATTTGCTTAGAGGTAAGTGCTTCATAAAATATATATTTTATGGAGAAATGCCCTCTGCCCTCAATAATGGATAAGTCCATATTCTCACTTTCTGTGTCCAAAGGACTTTCTGCATATAAAAAGGCCAGTTCATCAGATCATTCCCAATTCAGTCACAGTGTGTTTCAGCTACTCCTTCCACCAGCCTCAGTGAGTAAAGCCTGTGGTATTTTAAAATATCTTGGGAGAGCCAGGTTGAGGCCAGACCAGGACACCAGCAGTGTCAGGGATAGTAGCTGTTGCTTTCCCATTACTTCAGCAATTCTCTTCTGTTGCCTCTTACTAGTAAAAGAACATTGAAAATAATTAAATTTGGGAGAAAAAAAAAAACAAATGTCACAATAGACTGTTAATAAACTTTATTAATGTTTAATAGCCGTGGTAGCGCAGTGGTTAGAATGCAGTATTGTAGGCTAATTCTGTTGACTGCTCAAGGCTGACTCAGCCTTCCATCCTCCCAAGGTCGGTAAAATGAGGACCCCCAGATTGTCCGGGGGGGGGGGGGGGAATATGCTGACTCTATAAATTGCTTAGAGAGGTTTGTAAAACACAATGAAGCGTATATAAGGGCTACTGCTATTGCTATTTATTAATGCATTTAGGCTGCTAACAAACTTTATTAGTGTATTTTACATCTTTGTTTTATTTTTCGGTGTTTAATCCTTTTAAATATTTTTAAAGTGTCTGCAGACTTTTAATATTGCAACAAAAGAGTCACATGATAAACATATTATGAGGCCATGGAAAAATAGTTGGGAGCAGGGAAGGGTGGAGGGGAATAACCTGCCTTTAATTGCTACTGTCTCTCTGATCACAAGTCGTTGTTACTCTGTTAGATTTATGTCAGTGTTTGATTCCCGGACATAAGTCAAACCAATTTGCCAGGAGGCTTAAGAAGAACAGATAACAATGTAGAAATGTTAGCATCACAGTCACACACGCAGGCAGTGCTTCTCTTCAAGAACTGAGGCCAAAGGTTTCCCTCTGTGGGACAGATAAGGTAGTCCTTGACTTACAGCCGGTTGCTTAATGACCATTTGAAGTTACAACGACCTCCCAAAGCTACTTACCACTTGGTTCCAAAGTTTTAGTAGCTTCCCCCCCCCCCCCGCAGCCATGTGATCGAGCCCTCTGGAACCACCCACATTTATGACCGTTTGCAGCTCCCGTGGTCACGTGGCTGCAATTTGTGACATTTTTTGCCAGAAGCCACAGCATTTACTTCTCATTGGAATACGGGCATATTTGTCGGATTGATAAAAAGAGGGATTTGCGGAGATTCCTAGGAAGCAAACATACGTACAGGTAGTTCTCGACTTACGGCTGGTCGTTTAGCACCTCTTAGGCATTACGACGGAACTCCTCAATCTAAGCCAGTGGTTCTCAACCTGTGGGTCGGGACCCCATTTGGGGTCGAATGACCATTTCACGGGGGTCACCAAACCATGCTGTCCGCCATTTTTTTCCCTTTTCCCTAGCTGTCCTACTCCCTCTTATTGGTGGCCACACCCACTTGGGGGTCACCACAACATGGGGAACTGTAGTATGGGGTCACGGCATTAGAAAGGTTGAGAATCACTGATCTAAGCTTTTTACGAACCGGTTTTGACACTCCGATTGCCGCCGCGCTCTCCCTGGTCACAAAATCACCATTTTGTTTATTTAAGGCCATTTGCAGTGTCCCCCTTTCCCCCCACCCCCCCAGTCCACGTGACCATGATTTATGCTGGGTGGTTTTTGCTAGAAACCAGCACTTACTTCCAGTTTGGGGCAAAAAAAAAAAAATGCCCATTGGACACAATGGGTTCTCTTAATGACTGCGGCGTTCCTTTCACGACCACTGCAAGAAAGGCTGTAAAATTGGGCGCGGTCCCATCACCCACTGACTTCACGGGCATGAGTCAAAGACTATCTCTAGTTGTAGACATCCCAGAATAATAGCCTGTGTCCTTCTGAACCAGGGGTTCTCAACCGTGGCAACTTTAAGACTTGTGGACTTCAACTCCCAGAATTCCTCAGCCAGCAAAGCTGGCTGAGGAATTCTGGGAATTGAAGTCCACAAGTCTTAAAGTTGCCAAGGTTGAGAACGCCTGATTTACGCTGAGGCTGTGCCTCTGTTGAGAAGCTGCACTCCCTAAAAAGGAGCTGTAGATGGCGCTGCGTGACAGGCTATTTGAAATGCTTTGGGCATTTAAAACCCCACTGGTTGCACAGATCTTAATAGGAGCCAGTTTATTTCCTCTCCCTCCCTCTCTGATGACCCTGATACATCTCTTCCCTTTACCACCACCCCATCTGAGTTACGTTATGGCTATTTTTGATTCTGCATATATTTCCTGTGATTTCCCCCCTCCCCTGCCTTGATGTGACCTTCTTATACCGAGATTGTTATACGAAGCTATGCCGGAGCTTTTTTTCCTAGCCGTCTCTTGCTTGACAAGCTGGGTTTATTTTGACTGAAGGACTCTGGGTGGTTAATAGCACCTCAAAATGCAAGCGTATCCCCCTGGTTCGCCCCAGAATGAAAGTAGAGGCTGAAAGAGCCCCATTGTTCCTTCCGTAACACACCCTCTGATGAAAAACCAGCTCAGACAGGAAGGTCTTGCTCTGTTTTTGAGTAGGAGACTTTTGCCTTGAGCTTTGGGTGAGGCTGTCAAGCTCACCAGAGTTCCCATCGCTCTTTGGGCTGGGCAGCTTTGCCATTTTTGTCGAAAGGGAGAGATGACAAATTTTTTGCAGAGCTCAGCTAGTGACTGGTCACCAGCACCATAAGTGCTGCCGTCATTCTTCTCCAGTTTCCCCGTAAGCGTGACCACTGCGGTTGAGCCTTGACAATCCTCCTTGGGCTGGGCCGGCCATGCGAGTCTGAATTTGTTGAATGTTAATTTTTGTATTAAGTGCGTTGAATAGCTTTTGGTTTCAGCCAGGAAGCTCACAAATCGTGTTTGTGTGTGTGTGTGTGTGTGTGTTTGTGTGTGTGTGTGTGTGTGTGTGTGTGAGAGAGAGAGAGAGAGAGAGAGAGAGAGAGAAGGGGGAGAGAGAGGGAGAGAGAGAATAGAGAAGGAGGAAGGGAGAGAAAAGGGGAGAGAGGGAGAGAGAGAGAATAGAGAAGGAGGAAGGGAGAGAAAAGGGGAGAGAGGGAGGGAGAGGGAAAAGGGGAGAGAAGGAGAGGGAGGGAGGGAGAGAGAAGGGGACTGAGGGAGGGAGAAAAGGAGAGGAGGAGGGAGGAGAGGAGAGGGAGAGAGAGAGAAAAGGGGAGAGAGAGAGGAAGGGGAGAGAGAGAGAGAGATCCTTTTGTAATTCTAAAGCAAGGGATCCTTTGTGACTTTGGTCGTTACTCCACTTCTGAATGATGGATCATGTGCTATCAAGACAGAGTCAACACTCAGCAACCATATTGATAGATTTTTTTCCCCCCAGGAATAAGCTGTCCCCAGCCTGGTTCTGAAGTGCAACCATTGTAAATATGAATCAGGATAGTGCAACCATTGTAAATATGAATCAATTGCCAAGCGTCTGAATTTTGATCACCTAACCGTGGGGATGCTGCAACGGTCATAAGTATGAAAAACGGTCGTACGTCACTTTTTTCAGTGCCGTTGCAACTTTGGACGGTCACTAAACGAGCTGCTCTAAGTTAAAGACTACCTATATACCTATTTCTTGGCTGGGTGGGGGATTTTAAGGAATCTTCTCCATCCCTCAAGTTCAAAAGCCTCAATAACGCTTTCTATCCTGCCTCTCCTGAATCCCACTTTTGCTTCCCTGGAAGGTCACAGGAAAAAACAATGGCAAGAGCTATTGCTAAATCTCAAAGATCTATCTATCTGTGTCTGTCTATCTATCTATCATCTAATATCTACCTACCTACCTACCTACCTCTATCTACCTATCTATCTACCTACTTATCTGTCTACCTACCTATCTATCTACCTGTCTGTCTGTCTGTCTGTCTATCTATCTATCTATCTATCTATCTATCTATCTATCTATCTCAGTGGTTCTCAACCTTTTTAATGCCGCAACCCCCAACCGGTCATAAGTTGAGGACTACTCAACCGGTCGTAAGTCGAGGGCTACTCAACTGGTGCAGCACCGTTTGCAGAATGGGACTTTTGGCGGGCTCAGCAGGGCAGAGACAGCCTAGACAATTCCTATTGGCTTTTGAAAGCCAATAGAATTAGACTCTATTCAAGAGAGTCTATTCTATCGGCTTTCAAAAGCCAATAGAATAAAAGGGAGGAGCACAGCTAAGGAAAAGGGGGAAAAAATGGCGGACTGCGTTGTTTGGCGACCCCCGTGAAATGGTCGTTCGACCCCAAATGGGGTCCCGACCCACAGGTTGAGAACCGCTGATCTATATCATCTAATATCTATCTACCTATCTACCTATCTGTCTATATCTATCTACCTACCTACCTACCTATAATCTAATATCTATCTATCTATCATCTAATATCTACCTACCTACCTACCTACCTACCTACCTACCTACCTACCTACCTACCTACCTACCTACCTATCTATCTATCTATCTATCTATCTATCTATCTATCTAATCTTTTATTCCTTTCATCCAGAGGACAGTTTTCATTTTCAGCTGTCCAGCAGCTGAGGTGTTCCCTCACGGCCCCTCCGGACATGCCGAGCATTCCTACAGATTTCCCTTAGGCCTTGCCTTCAGGAAGTGAGTTGCAGAAGACCCCCATTCACGTAATCCAGGGGCAGGCCATTTTTTTCTTCTGCAGAGGTTTTGGACTTCCAAGGTGGCTCAGGCTTTACCTGGGAGTTTATTCTGGGAGTTGAAGTCCGCCCATCTTAAAAGTTCACAAGGTTGAGAAAAATGGAGCTAGACGGAGAAGGCAAAGCAAATGACGCCTCTTCCTCCTCGCGCTTGTCATGACCTGCGTGCTCAAAGGTGTCTTGTGAACAAGCCCCATAAGCAGCAAGAGGCAAGCAACCGGGGCCTCTTCAAGACAGCTCTTCTGGGCCTCGGTTGTGGTTCCCAACTAAGAAGCAGATTTGCCAGTGTAAAGAAGGGGCTAAAGTCCAGGGGTTCTCAACCTTGGCCACTTTAAGACTTGTGGACTTCAACTCCCAGAATTCCTCAGCCAGCTTTGCTGGCTGAGGAATTCTGGGAGTTGAAGTCCACAAGTCTTAAAATGGCCAAGGTTGAGAACCCCTGAAAGCTTTCTTTCTTTTTTTTTTCCTAGTGGCAGGTTACTTCTTTGTTTTCTTTTAAAGGGAAGAGGTGACCAACGGAAAGGGAAGCCTTCGCCTTCCTTTCTTTTTCCTTTGTGAACTTCCAACATTTTGCATGCACGGAGAGGCAAGCTACTGCCTGCAAGTTTCTAATTGCTTCAGGGGATTCCTCCCCCTCCCCCCATGCATTTTTTTTCCCCAGTGCATGACTCTCCCTTGCCTGGCCTGGAGCAGAGGGAACCGAACCGAACCGCCCAGCCATCTGCATTGAGTTTCGGGAACACTCATTGCTCTCCCAAGCCCCTCGGGTAGTACAAACTGCAGTAATAAAAGGTGTGTCAAGTAGAAAAGAAAAGCTGGAGATCAGAGTCCTCTCCCCAGCCAGACTGATGTGTGGGAAGCTCCTGCCGCCACAAAGGAGCCAGCAGCAGTTTCTGCTCTGCTGTGGTAAATATTTGGCCAGTTTGTTAGCCAAAGATCAAATCTAGTTATTCTCTAAAAGCTTTAATTGCCCAGGGGAAACTCCCCTCCTCCCCCATGCTGTTTCTTGACGAAGCCCTGGTGATCCCTTGCAATAAGGGCACATCTTTTTAAAAAAACAAAAACCCACCATTTCCAGACAAAAACCTAATTTTGCTTCCCAAGTTACTATTTAAATGCGTTGTATAATAATAATAATAATAAAAATTTGGAAGGGACCTTGGAGGTCATCGAGTCCAACCCCCTGCTCAGGCAGGAACCCTACATCATTTCAGACAAATGGCTGTCCAGTCTCTTCTTAAAAACTTCCAGTGTTGGAGCATATACCGCTTCTGGAGGCAGGTTGTGCCACTGGTTAATTGTTCTCACTGTCAGGAAGTTTCTCCTTAGTTCCAGGTTGCTTCTCTCCTTGGTTAGTTTCCATCTGTTGCTTCTTGTCCTGCCTTCAGATGCCTTGGAGAATAGCTTGACTCCCTCTTCTTTGGGGCAGCCTCTGAGTTATTGGAACACTGCTATCATGTCCCCCCTCATCCTTCTTTTCGTTAAACTAGACATACCCAGTTCCATCAACAGTTCCTTATATGTTTTAGCCTCCAGTCCCCTAATCATCTTTGTTGCTCTTCTCTGCACTCTTTCTAGAGTCTCAACATCTTTTTTACATTGTGGTGACCAAAACTGGATGCAGTATTCCAAGTGTGGCCTTACTAAGGCATTGTAAAGTGGTATTAATACTTCACGTGATCTTGATTCTATCCCTCTGTTAATGCAGCCCAGCACTGTGTTGGCTTTTTTGGCAGCTGCAGCACACTGCTGGTTGATATTTAAATGATTGTCCACTAGGACTCCCAGATCCCTCTCACAGTTACGACTATTGAGCAAGGTACCCCCCATACCAGGGGTAGGCAACCTTGGCTCTTTTATGACTCGTGGACTTCAACTCCCAGAATTCCTGAGCCAATTCCAAGCTGAGCTACGCTGGCTCAGGAATTCTGGGAGTTGAAGTCCACGAGTCATAAAAGAGCTAAGGTTGCCTACCCCTGCCCTATACTATACCTGTACTATACCTGTTTTTCTTGCCTAAATGTAGAACCTTACTTTTTTCACCATTGAATTTCATTTTGTTAGATAGCGCCCAGTGTTCAAGTCTGTCCAGGTCCTCCTGTTTATGCACAGCCAGTAAAAATTTAACCAAGAAGGGAGAGGCTAGAAGCTGACTGTGGAGAGTAGCAAAGTAAGCGCTAATTGCTTCTAAATGAAGGGGTGTGTCTGAGAGAGTCAACCTGATTTTAGACACGTTTGGGAAATATTTAAACACAGTAAAGAATACTAGACTAAGTGGATTACGAGGCAGATAAATGGGGATCAGGCAGTATGCAGTAGTTCTAGGTGAGGGCCCTTAACTCAGTGGTGAAGTTTTTGTTTTGAATTCTGATTCATATCCTGACATCATCTGATCCTGCTGAAGTCTTTAGAATAGATCCAGTAGATCTGGCATATTGGGAAAGGTGAATTGGTCGAGCCAGGCCCACTGATCATAGGGGCAGCTGCTTGCGTTCTTTAAGAGACCAGTAACAGCAGAGTCAGTTGTTTAAGCTTCTCTCATACAATTATAGAGGTGGAAGGGATCTTGGAGGTCTTCTAGTCAAACCCCCTGCCCAAGACAGGAGTCCTCATACCATCCTAGGCCAGGGGTCTTCAAACCTGGCCCTTTTGTGACTCGTGGACTTCAACTCCCAGAATTCCTGAGCCAGCATGGCTCAGCTTGGAAACCTCTCCCTTTCCCCTCAGCGTGGCTGGCTCAGGAAATCTGGGAGTTGAAGTCCACGAGTCATAAAAGAGCCAAGGTTGCCAGGAATTCTGGGAGTTGAAGTCCACGAGTCATAAAAGAGCCAAAGTTGCCAGAATGCAATCAGTAATGACCTTGGTTCCCATAGAACAGAGGTAGGCAACCTCGGCTCTTTTATGACTCATGGACTTCAACTCCTAGAATTCCTGAGCCAGCATAGCTCAGCTTGGAAACCTCTCCCTTTCCCCTCAGCATGGCTGGCTCAGGAATTCTGGGAGTTGAAGTCCACGAGTCATAAAGGAGCCAAGGTTGCCTACCCCTGCCTTAGCCATTCATTGTACAATTTAGCCTCCAGACCCGTTATTGTTGTTGCTGTTGTTCCCTGCACCCTTTCTAGCATCTTCTCGCCTTTGAAAAGCAATCAGAAATCTTTGCTGAGGACCCCAAAGAGGCTTAGCTTCTCTTCAGATGTGTAGACCTCTACTCTCAATATCCCCCAGGTAGCACAGCCCTCAGTGAAAATTCAGGGAGGGCGTTTACCAGAGACTGTATTTACCAGACTCAAAAATGTATGTAGTCAGCTAGGAAATTGAAGCAATCGAGCACGGAAGATTTCCACAAGATAAGCACCTTACTTGCTGAGCAGAATGTATGGCCTCCTGGACAGAAGGGTAACGACAGCTAAGAGCCAATGGTGGCCTCACACAGCACTTAAGCCACTCGTTTATTTTGTCCCACCATTGCCTGCAGCTAAAACCTCTTTGGCAAACATTGAATTACTGCAGAAAAAAGAAAAAAAAAAAAAAAAGAAAGGAGCTAATGGAATGAGCAGGCATTTACTAGCTGGCCCTCTGAACCACTTTGGGCCTGCTGGGGGCAAAAGGCAAATGTTCTTGTTCTTGGTTCTGCAAAGCAGTTTAAAGCAGCAGTACTTTAATTAACCCAAGTCTTGGTCTGTTGGACTTTTTCTTTTTATATCTTGCCTGCCGAACGCCCCAGCTAGCATGATGCCCTCTCTGTGTGCCTCGAGAATGTTGAAAATTCAGAAGAGACATTTGATTTTTTGTCAGGGTGATCAAGAACCAAAATGCACAGTTTTATGGCTGGGTGGCAATCATTAGCCCAGATGGCTTGGTCAAGGGAGTAAGCGGACTCAGAATAACAGATTAACAGAATTGGACGGGACCTTGGAGGTCATCTAGTTCAACCCCCTCCTCAGGCAGGAAACCCTATACCATTTCAGACAAATGGCTGTCCAGTCTCTTCTTAAAATCCTCCAGTGTTGGAGCATTCACAGCTTCTGGAGGCAGGTTGTTCCACTGGTTAATTGTTCTCACTGTCAGGAAGTTTCTCCTTAGTTCTAGGTTGCTTCTCTCCTTGGTTAGTTTCCAACCGTTGCTTCTTGTCCTGCCTTGAGATGCTTTGGAGAATAGATTGACCCCCCCCCTCCTTTGGGGCAGCCCCTCAAATATTGGAAGACCGCTATCATGTCACCCCTGGCCCTTTTTTTCACTCAGACAAGATCCATATGAAAGCAGAAGTCCGCTGTGATTCCTCATCCAAATCGAGCCCCCATATTCAGGAGCAATGTACCACCAAATGCCACTCGCTGGAGAAACAGCCCCCCCCCCCGGGAGACTAGTTGGGTCCAGCAGGTGCTTTTTTTAAAAAGAAAGAGTTGTGTTTTGGTTTGGGAACAGCCAAGGTGAAGCGTATGTCATATGCCTGCCTCTCCCCAAACAAAGTTTTGAAATGTTCTTGGAAACTTTTTAAGCTCGTTCCTGTTGGATGAGACTCCTGTATATTGTGCCGCCCTCCGCAATAATGGTACCCACCAGATACGTTCGGACTACATCTCCCAGGATTCCAAGTGTAGCCACTCTTTCATGTGCCTTGGAGGGGGGAGGGGGAGGAAGGACTTTGGCCCTCTCTTTACCAGTTGTTTGTGCCTCGGTTCCCAGCTGATCCAGTTCCTGCCTTGTTTTTCTTCCTTTCCAGGAATGCTTGAATATGACCCAGCCAAGAGGTTTTCAATACAGCAGATAAGGCACCACAAGTGAGTGCTCATTTATGCTTTCTCTCTCTCTCTCTCTCTCTCTCTCTCTCTCTCTCTCTCCTCCCCCCCCCCCATTCTTTTGTTTGATGTTGTGAAGCTGGGTGTCATATCGGTGTTAATTTGCCACTTTGGGGAAGGGGACAAAATGCAGGGAACTCTTCCCTTCCCCTTCCATTAAGACAAAAGCAGCTGACGGTTAATAAACAAGTTTTATTTTTAAAATGGATACCCCGTTGCATTTTGCTTCTCCGGAAAGCCTCCGAACGGTTGGCCTTTCGCTCTCGATCGATAAGTATATATAGCAGATGTGTCAAACACAAGGCCCGGGGGCCAGATGCAGCCCGCGACGTGGTTTCATGTGGCCCGCGAAACCATTCTGGAAACAGTGAGGGAACGGCCCCCGCTGCCTTGGCCCTGGCACAGGCCGGCCGAGAGGGAGCCAATGTACAATTTTGTGGTGGCCATCTATGCTGAAACGCATTCAGTCTTAGCTCCACAAGGCTGCCCGGAAACAGTGAGGAACCGGCCCCTGCCGCATCGGCCCTGCCCCCTGGGTGCATGCTGGGGAGGTGTCGCCCTTTGTGAGGAATGAAGAAATGCACCATCGCCTGGAAGTGGCCAGCAAATGGCCCTCGCCTACTTCACATATCCGGCTTGATGGACTCCAGGGGAGGGGTTTCAGCAGACTCTTCCAATGGACCGTGCCTTGGCGCTTGCCCTGGTCCCACCTCCTTCTGCCAGAGACCCTCAGATCTGTCCCACTCCTGCCCAGACCCCCACAGGCACCCTTGACGCGAATGATGTAGAGCTGGCCACGCCTACCCAGTAGGCCACACCCCTCCAGCTACGGCCACCCAGTAGGCCACACCCACCCTGGCCACACCTACCCCCCCCCCTGAAGACAACCGCAATGCTGATGCGGCCCTCAATGAAATTGAGTTTGACACCCCTGATATATAGTTACATTGGTAAAACAGCTCCTGTTTGCAAGAAAGAAAAGTTGTACAGGTAGTCCTTGACTTAACAGCTACAATGGAGCCCAAAAATTCTGTCGCTAAGCGAGACCGTTTTTAAGTTGAGTTTTGCCCTGTTTTATGACCTTTCTCGCCTCAATTGTTAAGTGACTCACTGCCATTGATAAGTTAATAACCCGGTTATTAACTGAATCTGGCTTCCCCCATTGAGTTTGCTTGCCAGAAGGTGGCAAAAGGGAATCGTGTGACCCCCGGGACACTCCAACTGTCATAAATGAGAACCAATTGCCAAGCATCTGAATTTTGATCACATGGCCCTGGGGATGCTGCAACGGTCATAAGTGTCAAACATGGTCATAAATCTGTCACTTGAGTGACTTGGTTGCAGTCACTTGTATTGTAACTTTGAATGGTCCCCACGTGAATGACTGGATTACCTGTATTATTGTAAAACCATTGTGGCAACTTAGTGTTCTCCCCAGTGAGCACCCCAGGATTGACGTTCTAGAGGTAATAATAATAATAATGATGATGATGATGATAATGATGATCATGATTTTGGAAGGGATCTTAGAGGTCATCTAGTCCAACCTCCCGCTCAGGCAGGAAACCCTATACCATTTCAGACAAATGGCTGTCCAGTCTTTTCTTAAAAACTTCCAGTGTTGGACTATTCACCGCTTCTGGAGGCAGGTAGTTCCACTGATTAATTGTTCTAACTGTCAGGAAGTTTCTCCTTAGTTCTAGGTTGCTTCTCTCCTTGATTAGTTTCCATCCTTTGCTTCTCATCCTGCCTTCAGGCGCTTTGGAGAATAGCTTGACTCCCTCTTCTTTGGGGCAGCCCCTAAGATACTGGAACACTGCTATCATGTCCCCCCTGGTCCTTCTCTTCCTTAAATTAGACATACCCAATTCCAGCAACCGTTCCTTATATGTTTAGCCTCCAGTCCCCTGATCATCTTTGTTGCTCTTCTCTGCACTCTTTCTAGAGTCTCAACATCTTTTTTACATAAATCTTGACCTGCTTGTCATGCCTTGGCCTATTTTTTTACAGCACGTCCCTGGGACAGGGTGGACTGAAAGAGAGTGACCGGCCCAAAGTCAGCCAGACAGTTTTCATGCCTCAGGTGGAATTAGAACTCATTACCTCCGGTCTTCCAGGCCAGCACTTTTAACCATTAGACAAAATTGGCCCGGGCTTATGCAGATTTTAGTAAGGAATACCAGTGTAATGTAAACTGCTGCTTATGGTCCTCATATATGAGGCTCAAATTAAACTGTGCAGTCACAATTCAGTGGGTTTTCTGTGTCTGTCCTCTGTTTAGTCTCCGGAACGCTTCCAAGGTTGTGAGTGCAGACAGTTTGGGGTGTTTCCGGGGGGAAAAAAGAAATCTGTAGTTTAAGCTGCTACTTGTAAACACAGAGGCAAAAAAAAAAAAAAAAACTTTATTGTTTGTTTGTGCTTGTCCTGAATTACAGTTAGTTCCCCTCTGTTTCCATCCCTCTCTTTGTCTTCCCCAAGGAAGATCCATAGGCAAATGTTTGGCTGTAATCACCTAGAGTACTAAAATCAATATCGCTCTGCAGGTTTCCACTTTTCTCCAAACCTATTTTTACTCTTTTCAATATGCAGAACAAGGAGACCAACATTTAAAGCAGAGCAAACAAATTCCTGTGTTTTGACTCCCTTGCCCAGCTCATCTTGCCTTTTTACTGGGCTGTGTATCAACTTACATGCTCGGGGAAAATTATTATTTGAGGATGGCTGTTAATAACCCTTTTTTTAAAAAAAAATAATATTGATCGGTTTAAAAATCAATCTCAGGGTTATTTTTTTTTAATAATTTGGCTTTTTTAAAAAAAATAAAGTGGTTTATAAGGGAGGTATTGTAGCTCTCTAGTCTAGTAGATGCTTATTTTGTCTACAGCAGTGGTTCTCAACCTGTGGGTCGGGACCCTATTTGGGGTCGAACGACCATTTCACAGGGGTCGCCAAACAACACAGTCCGCCATTTTTTCCCCCTTTTCCTTAGCTGTGCTACTCCCTTTTATTCTATTGGCTTTCAAAAGCCAATAGGAATTGTCCAGGCTGTCTCTGCCCTGCTGAGCCCGCCAAAAGTCCCATTCTGCAAACGGTGCTGCACCGGTTGAGTAGTCCTCGACTTACGACCAGTTGGGGGTCGTGGCGTTAAAAAAGTTGAGAACCACTGGTCTACAGAAGGTATGTGTCTCTGATAACCTCACTAAAAGGGGATAAAGGGGATTCTGTGTCACTGCTGCCTGTCCATGTAGGTAAAGCTGGCCCAGGTGGAAATCTGCCAGGTGTGTCCACATTGCAGGAAGCAGTGTGATTTAATTTGGGCTTAGCAGTTATACCTAACTATTGTGGTGTGTAAAGTCTGCTTTATAACTTAGCTCTCTGCAGTACTTCCAATTTCAAAGGGAGTGGACAGAGATATGCTCGTAGCATCGGCAGACACCTCCTTAAACTAAATTTAAACTTCTGGGACCAGTCAGCAGCCGTTCCAATGGGCACCCCACAATCTCAGGAAAAAGCACAACTTCTTTAAGGAGTTGCCAACTGATGCTACTATATGCAAATCGGAGTCACTGCGCAAACGTATTATGAATGAAGCAGGGGCACAAGTGGCTGGTTTTCAAAAGCAGAGTTGAAGCAAACTTTAACTTGGACCAGCCCATTTGCTTTCTTAACATCACAGGTGAAATAACTATTTGCCTAATACAAGTAGAGCGGTCCTCAACTTACAACTGTTCATTTAGCGACTGTTGGAAGTTACACTTCCCTTTTCTCTCTCTCTCCCTCTCCCTCTCTCCCTCCCCCCTCTCTCTCCTCTTATCTCTCCCCTACTCTCTCTCCCTCCCTCTCTCTCCCCTTCTCTTTCCCCCCTCTCTCCCCTTCTCTCTCCCCTTTTTCTCTCTCTCTCTCTCCCCTTCTTTCTCTCTCCCTCCCTCTCTCTCCCCTTATCTCTCCCCTACTCTCTCCCCCCTCCCTCTCTCCCCTTCTCTTTCCCCCCTCCCTCCCGCTCTCTCCTTCTGTCTCCCCTTTTCTCCCTCCCTCCCTCCCTCTCTCTCCCCTTCTCTCTCCCCTTTTTTCTCTGTCTCTCTCCCCTTTTCTCTCTCTCCCCTTCTCTTTCTCCCCTCTCCTTTTCTCTCTCTCCCCTTCTTTCTCCCCTTTTCTCTCTCCCTCCCTTTCTCTCTCCTTCTCTCCCCTCCCTCACTCTCTCACACTGACCTCATAAGGAGGCAAGGGACAGAGCTGATAATAATTAAGAATTCTGATTTTTTTTCTCATCTTGGCTAATGGCTGGGTGGCCGGATTTACTTTGAATGGTACAGGTTAAGTACAAGTAGTCCTTGACTTACAACAGTTCGTTTACCGACCATTCAAAGTGACAACGGCACTGAAAAAAAGGGATGAGTACCCACAAGTGATTTTTCACACTTAGAACCATTGCAGCATCCCCATCGTCAAATGATTTACATTCAGCTGCTTGGCAACTGACTCGCCCTTATGATGGCTGCAGTGTCCCGGAATCACGTGACCCGCTTTTGTGACCGTCTGATGAGCAAAGTCAATGGGGAACCCAGATTCACTTAACGACCGTGTTACTAACTTAACAACTGCAGTGACTCACTTAGCAACTGTGGCAAGGAAGGTTGTAAAAAGGGGCAAAACTCAACCACCGTTTCACTTAGCAACATCAATTTTGGCTCAATTGCGGTCATAAGTCAAAGGCCACCTGTCAATGTCGGCAGTTCGATCCTCGAGGTTGACTCAGCCTTCCATTCTTCCGAAGTCGGTAAAATGAGGACCCAGATTGTTGGGGGCAATATGCTGACTCTATAAACCACTTAGAGAGGGCCGTAAAGCACTGTGAAGTGGTATATAAGTCTAGGTCAGGGGTAGGCAACCTTGGCTCTTTTATGACTCGTGGACTTCAACTCCCAGAATTCCTGAGCCAGCCATGCTGAGGGGAAAGGGAGAGGTTTCCAAGCTGAGCCATGCTGGCTCAGGAATTCTGGGAGCTGAAGTCCACGAGTCATAAAAGAGCCAAGGTTGCCTACCCCTGATCTAGGTGCTATTGCAATTAACCAAAACCAGAGCTTGGGCTGGTTTTACAGAAGTCCTGCAAGGCCATTGTGAACGTACAGCTGGTCCCCAACTTACAACAGTTCATTTAGTGACCGTTCAAAGTCCCAACAGCACTGAAAAAAAGTGACTTAACGATCATTTTTCAGTTACGACTTTTGCAGCATTCCCGAGATCACGCAATCAAAATTCAGTTGCTTGGCAACTGGTTCATCCCGTTGGGCTTTTTGCACAAGTCGGCCGGATGGGGGATTCTGGGAGTTGAAGTCCACATGGTCTGTAAAAAGATGTAAAAAAGATGTTGAGACTCTAGAAAGAGTGTAGAGAAGAGCAACAAAGATGATTAGAGGACTGGAGGCTAAAACATATAAGGAAAGGCTGCTGGAATTGGGGATGTCTAGTTTAATGAAGAGAAGGACAAGGGGGGACATGATAGCAGCATTCCAGTATCTCAGGGGCTGCCCCAAAGAAGAGGGAATCAAGCTATTTTCCAAAGTGCCTGAAGGCAGGACAAGAAGCAACGGGTGGAAACTAATCAAGGAGAGAAGCAACCTAGAACGAAGGAGAAACTTCCTGACAGTGAGAACAATTAACCAGTGGAACAGCCTGCCTCCAGAAGCGGTGAATGGTCCAACACTGAAAGTTTTTAAGAAGAGACTGGACAGCCATTTGTCCGAAATGGTGTAGGGTTTCCTGCCCGAGCAGGGGGTTGGACTAGATGACCTCCAAGGTCCCTTCCAACTTTACTACTATTATTATTATTATTATTATTCCAAGTGGCCAAAGTTCAGAAACACTGGCCTGCAGAAAACCAGTGTCAAAGTCTGTTCCCAAAGCACTAAAATCTTGGTTTTCCTTTAGCTGGTTTCGGAAAAAGCACCCTCAGTGTGAGCCTCCCATCGCCATTCCGCCCAGCCCGGAGACGAAGGATCGGTGGAGGAGCATGACGGTGGTGCCTTACTTGGAAGACCTCCATGGCTACAATGAGGAGGAGGAGGAGGACGACGACTTAAAAGATGACTACTTAGAGGACGAGATCATTTACACTCAGGATTTCACCATGCCAGGTAACGAATGCGGCTGAGGATGGAAGCGGGCAGGGACCGTGGCCTGGAGGAGCATAAAGGAGCAGAGCGAGCTGGATGACTCTTAATAGTTTGCAGCCTTTGAGGGCTGATGAGTCCTTCTTGGGATTCCCACCCCTATCCTGAGACTTTGTGTGCAGCTACACCAGCCTGCTCAGGCTCCACTTTAAAATGGAGACTGTAGATTTATCTCCGTCTAAGTACAGGTAGTCCTTGACTTACAACCGTTCATTTACCGACTGTTCGAAGTTACCACTTCACAGAAAAAAAGTGACTTACGACCCTGCCCCTCGCATTTAACAACTGTCACAACATTCCCCACGGCCACATGGTTAAGATTTGGGTGCTTGGCCACCGGCATATACCCGTGTTTCCCCAAAAATAAGACCGGGCCTTTTTTTTTTAGCCTCCAAAAGAGGCACCAGGTCTTACTTTCAAGGGGTGTCTTTTATACTGAACTCTGGCACCGGCAGCCCCACCCAGCCAGCCCACTTCTTCTGACCGAAGGAGCAGCTTCATTCTGCAGCTGCATTCCGGCCTGCATTTTGCAGTCGGGTCTTTCCAGAAAGGCCTCTGCAGACGAGTACCGAGCTATGGATTTAATCCGTAGCTCGGTTCTCGGCTGTAGTGGCCTTCCGGAAAGGCCTGTGACTGAGAAATGCAAGCCTGGCCACAGAAGAAGAAGTGGGCTAGCGAGGAGAGGCCTGGCTGCAAGGTGAGTGGGTGTGGGGCGCGTGGGGCAGCTCCACACTCCCACCCTAGCTTGATTTTTTTAGGCGTGTGACTCGCCCCAAAACTAGGGCTTATTTTGGGGGTAGGGCTTATATTAGGCCCACCCTTCAAAATCATGCTAGGGCTTATTTTGGGGGTAGGCCTTACTTTCGGGGAAACGGGGTATTTGCAGCCATGGCCCATGACATCCTGCTGACCTTCCCTGCTGACTTTCAACCAGCAAAGTCAGTGGGGAAAGCCGGATTCCGATAACAACCGCATGAGTCGCCTAACCAGAATGATGGCAAAAAGTGGCTATGAAATTGGGTGTGGCTCACTTAACTGCTTTGCTTAGCCACAGAAATTCTGACCTCCGTTGCGGTTGTAAGTCAAGGACTCCCGGTAGCTCTCCTTGAAATCAGCCAGGAGAGGCTGCTGACGGCTGCAGAGATGGTCTTTTGTAGTGTTTGGGGAGCCCAGCCCAGGATCTGGGGTTGCCAAAGGCACTCAGGGGATGAGGCCTCCTCTGCACGTCCTTTCTCTCTTTCCACACGATGGCAGGAAAAAAAAATAAATCCCTCTCCCCAAAATTGCACAGGGCTGAGAACGAATTCATTTATATCTCTGTCCCCTTGGCACAGATGCTGAGGGATGCGTCGCTTGGGAATTTGGAAAGCACCCAAAGTGATTCCACATCAGTATTTTAACAAGCTCCTTCACTGCTCAAAACCTTGGTGTTGAATGCTGGGCAATTCAGCATGAATTGACGTTGCTTTGTTTTGCCTTGAACTTGGGGTCTGTTTATGCAGGAGTGTTTCTCCACAGAAGGAGGGACTGTCTGGTATGCCTACGCCAGGGGTAGGCAACCTCGGCTCTTTTATGACTCATGGACTTCAACTCCCAGAATTCCTGAGCCAGCATGGCTCAGCTTGGAAACCTCTCCCTTTCCCCTCAGCATGGCTGGCTCAGGAATTCTGGGAGTTGAAGTCCACAAGTCATAAAAGAGCCGTGGTTGCCTACCCCTGGTCTAGGTCTGTCTGTCTGTCTATCTATCTATCTATCTATCTATCTATCTATCTATCTATCTATCTATCTATCTATCTATCTATCTATCTTCTAGGTCAGGGATAGGCAACCTTGGCTCTTCTATGACTCATGGACTTCAACTCCCAGAATTCCTGAGTCAGCATGGCTCAGCTTGGAAACCTCTCCCTTTCCCCTCAGCGTGGCTGGCTCAGGAATTCTGGGAGTTGAAGTCCACGAGTCATAAAAGAGCCGTGGTTGCCTACCCCTGGTCTAGGTCTGTCTGTCTGTCTATCTATCTATCTATCTATCTATCTATCTATCTATCTATCTATCTATCTATCTATCTATCTATCTATCTATCTATCTATCTATCTTCTAGGTCAGGGATAGGCAACCTTGGCTCTTCTATGACTCGTGGACTTCAACTCCCAGAATTCCTGAGCCAGCATGGCTCAGCTTGGAAACCTCCCCCTTTCCCCTCAGCATGGCTGGCTCAGGAATTCTGGGAGTTGAAGTCCACGAGTCATAAAAGAGCCGTGGTTGCCTACCCCTGGGCTAAGCCAACAGGAAGATAGATTTGGTTGAGTGTTTGGAAAATCAGACTGGAAGCACAAACGCAGGAGAACACACCCCCACCCCCTTTGGCTGTAAGAATTTTAGCTTAGGCAGCCTTTGGGTGACAGACCTCATTATTGCTGGATTCTGACCCAGTTGGTGATGACTAAGGCAGGTTGGATCTGGATGAGGCTTCCACCTGGTGTCATTCAGATGTGCCCGATGGACGTTTCCAGGTCCGCACGAGGCAGGGGAATTCTCCAATTTGCCATATCCCACCCATTTGGAGGACATCACGTTAAGACAGGCCGCAAAGCTTCCCGCGTTGCTTTGCTCCTTTGTTATTTTGAAAGCTCCCTCCTCCTCCTCCATCCTTTCTGAAGTTTATGTCTGAGGCCAGCTCTTAAAATAGCTGGATTCACGCTGCATTCAGAAGATTTTCGATTCTCCCATTAAGGCAGTGTTTCTCAACCTTGACAATTTTAAGGCATGTGGACTTCAACTCCCAGAATTCCACAGCCAGCATTGCTGGCTGTGGAATTCTGGGAGTTGAAGTCCACATGCCTTAAAATTGTCAAGGTTGAGAAACACTGCATTAAGGTTATGTTTCCATCACACTGAAAAGTGCTCCGGTTGTTGGCCACAATTGCTAATGGCAGCCAAGCTCTTATTTTTTTGGGGGGGGGAGGGAAGTGGGGTGGGCAGTTGGGAAGAAAATGCTTGGAAGGGAAGGGGGTGTGACCTCTAAACCTGAAATTGGCAGTTTACAAGTTTTAATAGTTTAGTCTTCAATGCAAGTGGCAAAGGAAGAGAGGATCTTACTTGACTTCGGGCCATGCGTTTTGACACCTGTGTTGCGTGATTTAAGTCAGGGGTCTCCAACCTGCAGGCCCCTTCCTGTCTCTGATGACAGCCCCCAAGTAATACGTGATAATATATGAACACACACACACCCAGAAAGGAGTGCCAGTCTAGTAGTTAAGGCACCAGGCTAGAAAGCGGGAGACGGTGAGTTCTAGTCCTGCTTTAGCCGTGAAAGCCAGCTGGATGAATTTAGCCCAACCACCAGGAAAAAATGAGTTCTAGTCCCGCCTTAGAGGTAAAAAGCAGATGGGTGACTTTGGGCCAATCACCAGGAGACAGGAAGCTTTTAGTTCCGCCTTAATCATGAAAGCCACTGGGTGACTTTGGGCCAATCACTGGGAGATGGTGAGTTCTAGTCTCACCCTGTGTATGAAAGCCAGCTAGGTGACTTTGGGCCCATCACCAGGAGACGGTGAGTTCTGGCCCCACCTTAGGCGTGAAAGCTGGCTAGGTGACTTTGGGCCCATCACCAGGAGACGGTGAGTTCTAGCCCCACCTTAGGCGTGAAAGCTGGCTAGGTGACTTTGGGCCCATCACCAGGAGACGGTGAGTTCTAGCCCCACCTTAGGCGTGAAAGCTGGCTAGGTGACTTTGGGCCCATCACCAGGAGACGGTGAGTTCTGGCCCCACCTTAGGCGTGAAAGCCAGCTAGGTGACTTTGGGCCCATCACCAGGAGACGGTGAGTTCTAGCCCCACCTTAGGCGTGAAAGCTGGCTAGGTGACTTTGGGCCCATCGCCAGGAGATGGTGAATTCTAGTCCTACCTTAGACATGAAAGCTGGCTAGGTGACTTTGGGCCCATCACCAGGAGATGGTGAGTTCTAGTCCTACCTTAGACATGAAAGCTGGCTAGGTGACTTTGGGCCCAATCACCAGGAGACGGTGAGTTCTAGCCCCACCTTAGGCGTGAAAGCTGGCTAGGTGACTTTGGGCCCATCATCAGGAGATGGTGAGTTCTAGTCCTACCTTAGACATGAAAGCTGGCTAGGTGACTTTGGGCCCATCTCCAGGAGATGGTGAGTTCTAGTCCTACCTTAGACATGAAAGCTGGCTAGGTGACTTTGGGCCCATCACCAGGAGATGGTGAGTTCTAGCCCCACCTTAGGTGTGAAAGCTGGCTAGGTGACTTTGGCCCAATCGTTAAGAGATGGTGAGTTCTAGTCCTACCTTAGACATGAAAGCTGGCTAGGTGACTTTGGGCCCAATCACCAGGAGACGGTGAGTTCTAGCCCCACCTTAGGCATGAAAGCTGGCTAGGTGACTTTGGGCCAATAACCAGGAGATGGTGAGTTCTAGCCGCACCTTAGGCGTGAAAGCTGGCTAGGTGACTTTGGCCCAATCGCTAGGAGATGGTGAGTTCTAGTCCTACCTTAGACATGAAAGCCAGCTGGGTGACTTTGGCCCAATCAGCCCAACTCCCCTCACAGGGTTGTTGTGGGGAAAATAAGAGGGAAGCGTGTTAGATATGTCCGTCGCCTTGTGTTATTTGTGGAAAAACAAAAGTGGGATGCAAACAAACTTGTGGTATCTCAGGCGGGGCCCCAGCGGAGCCCCATCTCAGCGGGAGCCTTGCGTCTGCTCTGCCTCTGTCTCCTTCCCCCTCCCTGCTGATGGCTCCCCTGTTGCCTTTCCCCAGGTGAAGGCGAGGCAGGGCTTATAGGAGAGGATGAGGAGGACAGCACAGAGCAGGAGGGATTGCTTGCATTCCTGTTCGGAGACTGCGACCTGCTGCCCGGCGCGGAGGAAGGAAGGCCGCGTGAGAAGCTTAGCTTAGATGGCCAGAAAGAGCAGGACGAATCCAGGACGGCTTGTTTCTCTTCTACCTA